TTGTGGCGATTCAGACCTTTGATGTTGTGATCACGAGCGTTGATGAAGAACAACGCCTCTACTCAGTCCACACGAACAGATCGCTTCCGGTCACAGTGCTAGCTGATCACGAACGGAAACCTTGAGTGAGAGAGAGAATCAAAAATGAAATTGCATCAAGTGAAATTGCTTCATCACAAGGGATCTATTTATAGAATCACTCGTGTGGGCTACAAGCTAAAAGCCCAATTAAGGCTATAAGCTAAAAGCCCAATTAAGCTTATGGACATCATACCTTATGATGTACCATATATCACTTATCCACGTGGTACCTTACCACTTTCCGTATTACACTTAAGTGCACCATACCTTACGATGTTCCTTATTTATTCTATCTCTCATCAACCTGTCCTTATGTGTGTGACCCTGTAGGTTTTCGCGACGTTGGCAATTATATTAAATCACACATTTAATATAATAAACAGTGAGCGGTATCTAGAAACACATCACTGTTACCCAAGTCACGAAAATGTCATGTGATATGACCAAACCTTTTCCGTGATAATATTTGTGTTATACAATTACCCTTTTGCCCTCATGTCTATATTGAACACAAGGCATACACTGTGTCACCCTTGTCCAGTTCAATATTGGGCCCTTAGACATTTATCCTGTTATGCAGGATGAGCAAATTCCATCTAGGTCACTCATGTCCCTTAGCATGCTTTGTGAAGTACCCATCAACCGTCTTTATAGTCATCCAGTTACGAATAACGTTTGATCAGTAATAAAGTACTTGACTCTACATATAGGGTCCATAGTGGTTTCAAGTCGAAGGGTGGTATACACCATTATCATCATGAGAATAACTTATAACACTTTGCATAACATTCTATGTAGTATTCTCATAGCGGGTCAATCCAGTATAAATATTACTCCTAATATTCATACCTATGTCAAGACTTGATAACTCCTTATCTATGATCCATGAGATGTGATCATCAATCTATCTTCATAATAATCTTAATGCTTTAATGTTATCCCACTTCACATTAAAGCTTGACTACAGATACTTTAAGAATAGTTTCTTATGTTTAATGGGATCTCATGATTAAGTCACACTTAACATTTCATTAAACCAATAAACCATTCTAGGGACTTTATTATTTTGGAAAGCAAACATAATAAAGAAATGCCTTTTATTATTAATAAATAATTCGATACAAGTACCAAAAGTATTGGCCTCTAGGGCTTACACCAACATCAGGGCATAAGCCCTCATCATAATTGCCAATTTGGACAATAACAAGGCATACGCCCTCATCAAAACACCATTTACAGGCCAACAACAGGGCATAAGCCCTCATCACTATGCAACATGCGACATCATATGCAACAACATAATTATGCAACCACAAGGCATAAGCCTTCAACATTCGTCAACACAGACCATCATCATCATCATACAACATAAAATTTCACATAAAATCTCATGTTTTAAACTTAAATTATTATTATTACTAGCCTTCTTATGTCCACCTAAGCCTTACTAGTCATTATGGATCGAGAGAATACACTCCGCACACGAAAACGGGAAGAAATCGCAAAAATGGGAATTTTCGCACCTTCGCCTGCCCATACGCGTAATGCTGCCTGCGTTACGTGTATTGCCTTGTTGCCTGGCCTGCCTTACGTGTAATTCTTCCTGTATTACGATTAATGCCTTCTGTCCTGCCCTACCTTACGCGTAATGCTCCTGCCTTACATGTAATGTTGCCTGCATTATGCGTAACGATGTCTGCCTTACGCGTAACGACAGTCTGTGACCAAAAGAACTATGTTTTCACATCATAACGATTTTCACTCGTTTTGAGCATTTCAACCTCAAAAAATTGGGTCTAAAACAGAATTCTTTCACATATTAACTTAGGGATTTCATTCTACTTCATTATTCTACATTTCTACACCAATTTCTACATCATTTCCTCCAATTTTCATCACATCCCTAAATCTACAATTTTTCAGATTTGAGATTTTATGAACAACACAACAACAGTAAAAACCAGCAGTAACAACATGTTCATTGCATATATTAGATCACGAATTTTACACAAAAATCACATGGAATCACAAAATTCAAACCAAGAAGACATTCATCAATTCATTCATGAAAAACCTAAAGAGGGAAATGAATCCTCACTACCCTCTCATGTTAATATCACCAATTTAGAGAACCCATTCACCCCCTTTACCTTAATTTGCAGCTTTGATTCTTCAACAATGAAGAATTTTCCTTTGCCTTAGTTCTCTCTTCTCTTCTCTTCCTTATTTCAGCGTGACAATAGTTTTTCTCTCGATTGGTCTAACCCTATTTTATTGTATTTTATTATTACTAACACTTAACTAATAATAATAATAATAATAATATTAATGATAATATTAATAACAATATTAATAATCTTAATAATAATAGTATTATCCCTCAATTCCATTATCACCAATATTTTCCTCAAAACTAAGTTTCACCATAAAAATACCAAAGCAATTCAAATTCAACAAATAATGACTAAATATTTAAATGGGGCATTACACAAGCCTTCGATGTCTCAATCTAAATGATCTCTCTTCCATTACTCCTATAGAAGAATGAACCAACGTTAACAATAAGATTGAGGTTAAAAAAATGAAAAGATGCAGACAGACTAAAACCGTATATGTATTTTCGATTTTTGATTGAACAAAACCGAAAATGCATATTCGGTACGACCTACAACTTTACAGTTTCGTCAATAGCAAAACTATGTCACAGTGACCTCAAAAAATGGTCATTGATCGTAAAAACACATACCCAACACATTTCTTATGAGTCCTAACGTTGAGTACACATGAAAAAAATTTGAATTTTCGACCTAAAACATGATTTGTAGGTAAAATTACACAAACTCTAAAAAGTTCAAAAACTCTAAAAACATTATGTGGATATACAAGTAGTATATCCACATAGTGATAAGTCTTTCAACCCTGAAAGCACCAAGAGCTCATCAAACCATGGGTCATGGCGAGGTACGAGTCTAGTGATCTTCCGCGTATGATTAATGATTTTCAGCGGATCACGTTCCATCATACATGGTTGAACAAAATTCATTCCACATAATAATAATAAAATAAATTAAACAAAAATTAATAGAGCAATTATAAATTCATACCTCTTCGTCCCAGATATGTCTAACAACATGGTCCGGATATAGAGGCAGCAATGATAAATTAGAAGACCCTTCTCCAAAAATCTGAGGTGCTGCAAGTGCCGCCTCAATTGACTGGGCCTCAGGTGCCGTATGTGATTGAGACTGGGATGCAAATTGTAGCTCGGTGTCAGGTGCCTCAGCTTCCTAGGTCTTAGGTGCCTCGGGCTGTGTGGCCTCCGGTGTCGGCTGCAAACTAAAAGTTTATCTTGTCTCAAATACTATCGATAATGAAGTGCAACTACAGGAGGATGGAGGTAGGGAGAGATAAACTGGAGAACCTCCTCTGTTGCGGGATGGCGATAAAGTAGATGTAGAAACAAGAACACTGGAAACTATTGTCACATCCACTATTCCTTGTCCAGAGGTAGAAGGAGTATGGGGTAATTCATTTTCTTATGCACAATAGCATGTTGTACAAGCATTCTGTGTCTTAACTTAGATGGTCTCTCTTCCATTACTCCTATAGAAGAATGAACCAACGTTAATAATAAGATTGAGGTTCAAAAAAATGAAAAGATGAAGACAGACTAAAATCGTATATGTATTTTTGATTTTTGATTGAACAAAATCGAAAATGCATATCCGATACGACCTACAACTTTACAGCTTCGTTAATGATGAAGCTCTGTCACAATGACCTAAAAAAATGGTCATTGATCTTAAAAAAAATATACCTAACACGTTTCTTATGACTCCTAACATTGCAAACACTAAAAAAAAAATTGAATTTTCGACCCTAAAATATAATTTGTAGGTAAAATTACACAAACTCTAAAAAGTTCAAAAACAACTTACAAGTGATGATTTTTTTTTTGCTCGAATATGCTTGAATAATACACTTTGTTTGATGTTTGATGATTCCTGATGAACTTTTCGCAAAATAGAATGATTTTAACACAATGGAATGTGAGAGAGTGTGTTTTGGGGTGTTGAATGTTTTTGTTTTCAAATGCTTTCTGAAAATGAGGAAATGGAAGAGGCAGCGCGCGTTTAAGTTATTACACAAATCGAAAATACAACTGCGGTATCAACAGTAAATACATTTCCGATTTGTATCTGCATGTTAGTTTGAGTTTCTCAGTCATAAAACTTATGTGTATTTGGGGTGGTTCCGAAAATACAATTACTCTTTCATCCGTAGTTATATTTCTGATTAGTTTTCAACTGATGCATAGGATCTCGTCCATCAAAATTTAGGTTTTGATGCGTACTAGAAATGCATTTATGGTTTTCAGGGGCATTTTTATTACATAATGCGCTAGTAAAGTGTGGGGTGAATTAAAAAATCTCTTCAAAAAATCTAGTCTATGTAGATTAGGCCATAAATCCATATTAATTGGTCTGATCTATTTTCACCCCTATTTTTAACCACTAAAAATTTGATATAACCAATTTAACATATTCTCAACTAACTCAATTAGAACATTGTTTCTGAAGTTTCTAATTAATAGCACAGCTATACTAAATTTTATGCGCAAAAAACATCCCGTGATTCTTCTCTTTTTATTGTTTGTTTGCGACACAATTACACATGTTTATCTATTTTTTTATAGCAAAGATAGATATTAAATGAAACACAAATATTTACATCATGAAGGTAATGTGTAATTTGGTGCAATTGAATTGTGATGCACATGTATGTGTAAGTTAAATTCTGTAAGTATTGGAAACATTAGTTTGTATAAAAAAGCTATTTTTTTCAACCTTGTACCAAGGATGAAGGCAATTATGGTATTGAACAGTCTTTATAATTTTATATTTCACATCAATTATAACCTAATCAAACCGCTCCCAATCTTGAGATACTTTTGTCGAAGACGGTGTTGTGGCTGAGGCTGGGTCTTTCGAGTCTTGTGTTCCAGTATCAAAGGTCTCCCAATGAGTTGTTCCTGTGGCAGCACTACCACTTTGGCCGGAAGGGTTGGAGTTTCTAGCCTTCAGAGAATCCAACTTATCAACGAGACCCTGCACACGACGCACCTGTAGAAGTAGAGAAAACGTCGTGTTCAACAGCAATATCTAAATCTCCACAAAACTTAGAATGGTATAAAAACTACCTCTGCTTTTCTCTGTGTCTTTGCTTCGCCTTCAGCCTCAATACCATCCAGTTTCAGTAATTGTTTCATAAGCAACTCTGTCAACAAGAGAAATTCTTTCTCAGAAGCCTTGTTCCCTGCATTGATAGCCACTTCCAAGGCGTCTACCTGAAAAATTACAATAATCGATACTATTATTTCCCAATTAATATGTTTATCCAATGAGTAGAATAGTTATATATTTCAAAAACATGCTCACCCTATCAGAGAGCTTGTCCACCTCAATTCTGACCCCAGTAATAGCTTCAATTGCTTTAGACATCTCATTTTGTTTTCGGGTTTCCTCAAGCTTCTTCTCTTTGCTTGCAGCGCGCTCCAAAAGCAAAAGCTTTGACTTATCCTTCACACCTTCCAAGAGCAATTTCTCCCCATCATCCTTTTCTATTCCTCTGAAGAAAATTCGTTGTTGTTCAGACTCCAAACCAGTTTTATCAACAAGCAATTTTTTTAAATCTCCTGTTATTGAAAACACAAACAAGATAAACATATATATCAATGACAAGATGCAACTTTGTTATTAAAACTAAAACAAAATAACAATGCAGAAGTTTTGTCTCTTTGAACTATGATTCTCAAACAAGACACTTGTCATAATCTCAATATACAACATTTAAAAGTTAAACTAATCCAATAAATAATCTGAAAACTACAATTTAATGAGTGATACACAGTAGTTAGGGAAAAACCCCAAATATTTTCCCTTTCAAAGCATTGAACTTATCCAATAAACCCTTTGTTCCAAATTTCCACCACAAATCCAACTATTTCTAATGTAATATTTCAAGTACATAAACTCTGTTTTCTCACTATTCTATTACAAGATTAAACACAAACATAACTTAAACATCAAAAAATGTAATTTTTTTAACAAGATTGCAAGAGACAAAAAAAAAAAACTCACCGAAAGTTGATTGGGCTGGGAGATGGATCTGGTGAAGAGATGTACCGTAAGAAACATTGATTTTGATTGTGGGTCCACCAACTCCGTCGCTCTCGGATATAGTGGCGGATTTCGTGTCCGGCGGCGAGGCGGCGGCGGCGGTGTTTGAGACGCTGTTCATGGAGGCGGTTTGGTAAAACGCGAAGAAACGGTGCGTTTTGTGGAAGAGGAGAGAATGGTCTTTTTGTTATTTTTTTGTTATTGTTTAGTTGTGATACGACTGAGGTTGACTCCAGGCTTTGGTTGCTTATAAACGAAATTGAAATTATATTATTTTTTAAACTTGAATGAAATAAATAGAATGTGGCGTATTCGATTACATACCTTCATTGAAAGAAAGAAATAAAAAAAAAGAAGAAGATGAGATGAAAAATAATTTATTGATTGATAATTGAAAAAGTAATTACAAAAATGTATTTATAGTTGCACCAACCTTATATATCTTATGTTTATTCAAAATTAGAGTTGATCTTTGATTCGGATAACCAAACTCAGAACATCCAAAATATAGGGATCTCAAAATTATTTTTCACATGAGGCCATGTTAGTAGAGGTATTGAGGTTCTGCTCGGTGTTAATTGGAGTAGAAAAACGTTTGCACGAGGTCGTGCTGGCTCGAGCAATAATTTCGCTAGTATATGTACCTTGACTAAGTCCATCTGCATGTTTGGTCACTACAATATCCAAAAAATAGCTCAACGGTTCCATATCCTTCATGACAAACTCGAAGGCAGTAAGCACCATGATAGATTTGTATAGGTCATGAGAGGAATTTATGAGGATGATGTCCTAAACATAAAGTAAGATGTAAGCCATGTTGAAGCCACATCGGTAAATGAAGAAAGAGTGATCATAGGTGTTTTGCTAAAATCTAATGACGGAAATATAGTCAGCGAAACACTGGTACCATGCACGAGGTGCTTGCTTTAAACCATAGAGATATTTCCGCAAATGACACACATAATCTGGGCGATGAGGATCAAGGAAACCCAATGACTGATGCATATAGACACTTTCATGAAGATCACCATATATAAAGGAATTATGAACAACTGATGAATGAGCTAGGACTTGGAGAGAACGATGGTGAGATTTATATGTTTGAAAGTTAGCTTTAATGTAACCTATTACAATGAGCTCTTTCTAACCTCCACATATCAATATTAAATCCTTAATTCTTCCCAAGTGCTTAAGGGTATTCTTGATAATAATTTGATGACCATCACCAAGACCAGACTAGTATACATTTGTTATGCTTAAGGCATTCAAAATATTTGGTTGAGTACACAATATGAAATACACAATAAACTCAATTTCATATGCATATAGGATTTTTTTGTCTTCCTTTTCTTCCTTGGATTGAAGATGAATCTTGTATTAGAATCGTGCATACTAAAGCGTCTTAGTATATTGTTTGGGTATTTACTCCGACTTAAACCAATAAATATTTATTATTTATCTCTATAGATCCTAATCCGTACAATATATATAGTCTGACCCAAATCTTATACGAAAATAACTCTCTAACTAAGTTTTGATTTGTTGCGAGGTAGGGATGCCATTTCTTGTGAGTAAAATGACATATAAAAATTAACTATACTCCCACTATCTTTCTTATAAAAAAGGGTTATATTCATTTTTAATGAATCCAAACTATTTTACCGTTTCATCAAAATGAATGTTCATCTTCATTATCAATACTTTATTACACGGTAGGATAGTACTTTTTCAAATATTTTTATTTATGTTTTTGTTTAGCCGTTCAACTTCAAAATTCACCCGTCGATAAACACATATATTAAAAATATTATTCATTATTATCTTTTGAAACTAGAAAATACTAGTTAAATAGATGAGGCTATTTTGTATAGCAGACGAGTTTTCAATATCTTTTCGTTTTTATGTGTTATCAAATCACTACAAGAAAAATCTCATTTAACCACGTGGAATATACAATGGGTTAAGTCCCTCACTAAATTAATACATTTATTGAAGTTTAACACCTCGCTACACAAAAACAAAACAAAAAATTATAAAGAATTACACTACTAGGGGCTTCTTCTAGCAAATATTATGGAGGAGATTTTGTATTTTTGAAATTGAACATTTCGAGGGGTCACTCATTGCAGAATAAAATGACACCAATACTCTTTTTGTTGGGAAGACAAATGTGCTTATTTTCAAGGGGAAACCCTTGGAAAAATAATATTGTTCCATTTGGGATGGGCTCTAATGCAAAGTTTGATTGTGAGGTCAAATCATGTCAATGTCATTACTGTTTATCTGCAAGTGTCATTACCGCTCCTCATTTGCAAAGGGCAGCCTCTGGAAAAATCCCCCATAAATATTTCTACTGCCCACTTTTCCCATACCCAGTACACACTTTTCTCTTTTATTACTTTTTTCAACAACTCTTTCCTTTTCTCTTCAGACCTTAAACAATTTCCATCAACTCTTTCCTTTTCTCTTCAAACCTTGAACAACACTAATCAATTTTAAGGCAATTTTTTATGTTAAAATTAAATTATCTATTTGCTTTCAATTTACATTCATCTAATCACATTTTTTATTCTTCATTTTATGTGTTTTATGTACCATTTAGTTCATTTAAAGGTGTCAAATTTTGCACTAAAAGAGCTTCAAATCTAAGGTGTATAGTAGTTTGATATGTTCATCAATTTAAGGTACATTTTTTATCTCTTTTTTATTTTTTTGAATGTATCTAATATTTGTGTTTGTTTTCTGAATAATCAGATTTGATTAAAATGAAAAACAATGACAATACAAATGCGATCACAAGGATCCAGTCCCAATAAACAACTACACGACTATATCATCAAAAGCCTAGCTAATTTTTTTCTAAACTTATGGTGTGTCCACCCTCTATACACAACCAAATATATAATTTTTTCTCCTTTGTTGTTGTTATCATCTTTACTTTCGAAACTAATCAAATTCTGGTATCTCCAAATTTCATATACTATTTCCACTATTGTCGCCTTAAGCACACCCGCCTTCTAGCTATTTCCTTTACAATTGGAATTTAACTAAATCATTTCCTCCTCCCAAACTTCAGATGTGTGTTGGATCTGTATCCAAGTAAGCACCTTTAACCAAATTCTCTTTAAGTGAGCATAATCAAACAACAGGTGATAGAGGGTTTCAATTTGGGGGTAAAAAAAAAACATTTTGTATCCATACATAATCCAATTTTGTCCAGTCTAGCTTTGGTGGCTGTCATACCCCAAATTTGTTTGCCCTTAGTGTTACCGTCAAGTTTATTTTCAAACTTGGGTTTTAAAATTTGTTTGGTTTAATTACATTAATATTTTTAGGTTTTTAAATTATTCGCTTCCAAACCTATTTAAAAATATAAATGATTTATTTCAGATCATTTGTATTTTTGAATAAAAAAAATACTTGCTCGTCTTCATGTACTTTCAATTGATTTTTTATTTTGAATAAGTAACATAGCACAGTTGGTAAGGAATGAAGCTTGCAAGTATGAGGTTGTGGGTTTGAATCTCTTATATCGCACTTTTAATATTTTTTTTTTAATATTTTTTATTACTAATTTTCTATCAACAAATTTTTATATTCTTGTGTTTTTCTATCAACAAATTTTAGCCAATTATTTCATATGAGGCCTCCCTCTAATCTTCAATTCTATATTGTTTTAATTTATTAGCGTTTAAACCAAATAAGGATTATCTGATGGTTTCTTTCTTTAAAAAATTATATTTTAAACCAACAATTTTTTTATCAACCACAATCCACAAATATTCACATTCACACAAGCACAATATGTAAAATACCTTTGTATTTTCCATTCGCATATAGACGGTACATAATCACCACTGCAAACTTTTTTTCTTCCTAACTTTATAACAATCACTTCTGATCAAAACTCACACTTACCTACTAACCTTTCAAAAACAATAGTCATATGCAGAATAAACATACAATGTCTCTTTAACGAAGGAGACGACCAACAATGAATTAAAAAGAATATGGAAATAGAAGCGATCCTCTTCAACAGTTATCACTATCAGAGATCTATGACATGAATTTTCATAAAAAACCATGTTCAAATTACAAACAACAACCTGCAATTTCAAGATTCAATGAGAAATCCTCAAGGTATAAAATAAAAAAAAGTAGCATTATTACTGTTTTGTTTGTTTTGTAGAAGAAATAATACAAGAAAAAGAAAGGCAATCTCCAACAACATCGCTTCAATTGACTCCGACTGCATATCCGCAAAACACTACCGCTCCGCCTTTAACCTCTCCCAGGAGCTACAAATAGTGGACGCAGCCATCGCCATACTGCTATTGAATTAAAAAATCCAGCGTCAACCTTAGGGATTCGAAAGGGTTTAACATCCCACCCATAGGCGCCTAGTAAACTAGGTGCAACCCCTGAAAATGCTTGTACTATATGGAAATAAAGTTGCACCTTAGCTACAAGCAATTGCTTTTAGTTCAGTGGTAAGCGTTTGATCCTATAAGTGCGATCTTGGTCATGGGCTCGAATCCCCCCGACTGACACTGGGGGAGATTGTTGAATTAAAATATCCAACATAAGGGTAATTCGAAATGACTTAACATCTCATCCATGGGCTCTTAGTAAACATATACTATATGGAAATAAAGTTGAATCTTGGCTACAAGCAATTGCTTTTAGCTCAGTGGTAAGTGCTTGATCCTACAACTGCATCTCCACAAATTAATGAACCCCCATGAGTTTTTTGTTCAACTGCCTATGTTTCTGCTGTAGCCAGCAAAGCTTTCATCCCGCAGCAATCCAAATCACGACCATCAACGATGTTACTCCGCCCATACATACCTCCTAACCACCACGCTTCATCTTTCACCGTCGATTCACCATGCCAGGTTCTTCATATTGTTTTTGTTGTTTTGGGTATTATGTTTGTTGGATTTTGGTTGTTTTTATAAGGAAGAAGATAGAAATATGAAGTTCATCGTGAAAAAGAAAAGAGAAGATTGAATTGAGATGTAAGAGAAGTTGATTGAGAAAGAAAGAGTAACTGAGTGTGGATCTGAAACTCTCAACGTATAAGTATTTTGGGTTTTTATTTTATTAATCAATTTAATGCCA